GACTAGCATCAATGTCTCTGTCGCCACTAGGGTTAGTTAGTCTATAGATACACAAGACTAGCAGCCATGTCTCTGTCGCCACTAGGGTTAGTTAGTCTATAGATACACAAGACTAGCATCAATTTGTCGCCACTAGGGTCTGTTATTCTATAGATACACAAGACTAGCATTAATGTCTCTGTCTCCACTAGGGTTAGTTAGTCTAATGATACACAAGACTAGCATCAATGTCTCTGTCGCCACTAGGGTTAGTTAGTCTATAGATACACAATACTAGCAGCCATGTCTCTGTCACCACTGGCCTTAGTTAGTCTATAGATACACAAAGCTAGTATCAATGTCTCTCTCGCCACTAGGGTCAGTTAGTCTATAGATACACAAAGCTAGCATCAATGTCTCTCTCGCCACTAGGGTCAGTTAGTCTATAGATACACAAAACTAGCATCAATGACTCTGTAGCCACTAGGGTCAGTTAGTCTACAGATACACAAGACTAGCATCAATGTCTCTGTCGCCACTAGGGTCAGTTAGTCTACAGATACACAAGACTAGCATCAATGTCTCTGTCGCCAATAGGGTTAGTTAGTCTATGGATACACAAAGCTAGCATCAATGTCTCTCTCGCCACTAGGGTCAGTTAGTCTATAGATACGCAAGATTAGCATCAATGTCTCTCTCGCCACTAGGGTCAGTTAGTCTATAGATACACAAAACTAGCACCAATGTCTCTGTCGCCACAAAGGTCAGTTACTCTAAAGATACACAAGGCCAGCATCAATGTCTCTGTCACCACTAGAGTCAGTTAGTCTATAAATACACAAGACTAGCATCAATGTCTCTGTCACAACTGGAGTCTGTTAGTCTATAGATACACAAGTCTAGCATTAATGTCTCTGTCACCACTATGGTTAGTTAGTCTATAGATACACAAGACTAGCATCAATGTCTCTGTCACAACTAGAGTCTGTTAGTCTATAGATACACAAGTCTAGCATTAATTTCTCTGTCACCACTATGGTTAGTTAGTCTACAGATACACAAGGCTAGCATCAATGTCTCTGTCGCCACTAGGGTCTGTTATACTATAGGTACATAGGACTAGCATCAATGTCTCTGTCACCCTAGGGTTAGTTAGTCTATAGATACACAATGCTAGCATCAATGTTTCTCTCACCACTGAGGTTAGTTAGTCTATAAATACACAAGACTAGCATCAATATCTCTCTCGCCACTAGGGTTAGTTAGTCTATGGATACACAAAGCTAGCATCAATGTCTCTCTCGCCATTAGGGTCAGTTAGTCTATAGATACACAGAGCTAGCATCAATGTCTCTCTCGCCACTAGGGTCAGTTAGTCTATAGATACACAAGACTAGCATCAATGTCTCTCTCGCCACTAGGGTTAGTTAGTCTATAGATACACAAGACTAGCATCAATGTCTCTGTCGCCACAAAGGTCAGTTACTCTAAAGATACACAAGGCTAGCATCAATGTCTCTGTCACCACTAGAGTCAGTTAGTCTATAGATACACAAGGCTAGCATCAATGTCTCTGTCACAACTAGAGTCAGTTAGTCTATAGATACACAAGTCTATCATCAATGTCTCTGTCACCACTATGGTTAGTTAGTCTATAGATACACAAGGCTAGCATCAATGTCTTTGTCGCCACTAGGGTCTGTTATTCTATAGGTACACAAGACTAGCATCAATGTCTCTGTAGCCACTATGGTTAGTTAGTCTATAGATACACAAGGCTAGCATCAATGTCTCTCTCACCACTAGGGGTAGTTAGTCTATAGATACACAAGACTAGCATCAATGTCTCTGTCGCCAAAAAGGTCAGTTAGTCTAAAGATACACAAAGCTAGCATCAATGTCTCTCTCGCCACTAGGGTCAGTTAGTCTATAGATAAACAAGACTAGCATCAATGTCTCTGTAGCCACTATGGTTAGTTAGTCTATAGATACACAAGGCTAGCATCAATGTCTCTCTCGCCACTCGAGTCAGTTAGTCTATAGATAAACAAAGCTAGCATCAATGTCTCTGTCGCCAAAAAGGTCAGTTAGTCTAAAGATACACAAATCTAGCATCAATGTCTCTCTCGCCACTAGGGTCAGTTAGTCTATGGATACACAAGACTAGATTCAATGTCTCTGTCACCACTAGAGTCAGTTAGTCTATAGATACACAAGTCTAGCATCAATGTCTCTGTCACCACTATGGTTAGTTAGTCTATAAATACCCAAGGCTAGCATCAATATCTCTGTCGCCACTAGGGTCTGTTATTCTATAGGTACACAAGACTAGCATCAATGTCTCTGTAGCCACTAGGGTAAGTTAGTCTACAGATACACAAGACTAGCATCAATGTCTCTGTCACCACTAGGGTTAGTTAGTCTATAGATACACAAGGCTAGCATCAATTTCTCTGTCGCCACTAGGGTCTGTTATTCTATAGGTACATAAGACAAGTATCAATGTCTCTGTCGTCACTAGCGTTAGTTAGTCTATAGATACACAGGGCTAGCATCAATGTCTCTGTCACCACTAGGGTTAGTTAGTCTATGTATACACAAAGCAAGCATCAATGTCTCTCTCGCCACTAGGGTCAGTTAGTCTGTAGATACACAAAGCTAGCATCAATGTCTCTCTCGCCACTAGGGTCAGTTAGTCTATAGATACACAAGACTAGCATCAATGTCTCTGTCGCCACAAAGGTCAGTTAGTCTAAAGATACACAAAGCTAGCATCAATGTCTCTCTCGCCACTAGGGTCAGTTAGTCTATAGATAAACAAGACTAGCATCAATGTCTCTCTTGCCACTAGGGTTATTTAGTCTATAGATTCACAAGACTAGCGTCAATGTCTCTGTTGCCACTAGGGTCAGTTAGTGTAAAGATACACAAGGCTAACATCAATGCCTCTGTCCCCACTAGGGTTAGTTAGTCTACAGATACACCAGACTAGCATCAATGACTCTGTCGTAACTAGGTTCAGTTAGTCTATAGATACATAAGACTCGCATCAATGTCCCTGTTACCACTAGATTCAGTTAGTCTATAGATACACAAGGCTAGCATCAATGTCTCTGTCACCACTAGAGTCAGTTAGTCTATAGATACACAAGACTAGCATCAATGTCTCTGTCGCCACTAGGGTTAGTTAGTCTATAGACACAAGGCTAACATCAATGTCTCTCTCACCACTAGGGTTAGTTAGTCTATAGATACACAAGGCTAACATCAATATCTCTCTCACCACTAGGGTTAGTTAGTCTATTGATACACATGGCTAGCATCAATGTCTCTGTCGCCACTAGGGTTAGTTAGTCTATAGATACACAAGACTAGCATCAATGTCTCTGTCACCACTAGAGTTAGTTAGTCTATAGATACACAAGACTAGCATCAATTTGTCGCCACTAGGGTCTGTTATTCTATAGATACACAAGACTAGCATTAATGTCTCTGTCTCCACTAGGGTTAGTTAGTCTAATGATACACAAGACTAGCATCAATGTCTCTGTCGCCACTAGGGTTAGTTAGTCTATAGATACACAAGACTAGCAGCCATGTCTCTGTCGCCACTAGGGTTAGTTAGTCTATAGATACACAAGACTAGCATTAATGTCTCTGTCACCACTAGGGTTATTTAGTCAATAGATACACAAGACTAGCATTAATGTCTCTGTCACCACTAGGGTTATTTAGTCAATAGATACACAAGACTAGCATTAATGTCTCTGTCGCCACTAGTTTTAGACGGCTCCTGTGCTATCCGGTAGTTGACTGACACAAAAGTGATATTACCGTAGCTGCTGCAGTCACCTCCCCTCTCTACCTCCCCTCTCCCCCCTGCAGCTCTTGGATATAGTTAACATTCATTGGAGAAGAATGCCCCCCCCACTCCCAACCCCCCCCCCCCCCCCTTTCTTTCCAGCACTTACAGATAGTTAACGTTGATTGAACAAGAATGCTCCCCTCTCCCCCTTCCAGCACTTGGATATAGTTAACGTTTCTTGAACAAGAATGCTCCCCCCCCCCCCTCCTCCAGCTCTTGGATATAGTTAACATTCATTAGAGAAGAATCCCCCCCCCCCCACTCCCACCCCTCTCCTTTCCAGCACTTGGAGATAGTTAACGTTGCTTAGACAAGAATGTTCACCCCCCACACCCCCCCCCCCCCTAGCACTTGGATATAGTTAACGTTGTTTAGACAAGAATGTTCACCCTCCCCCCCCCCCCAGCACTTGTATATAGTTAACGTTGCTTAGACAAGAATGCCCCCCCCCCCTCACCCCCTGCCCGCTTGTGTGTTCCCTTATCAAATTTTGCCTATTTACAAGTATGTCGTAGGAGTTAAGTTATTATACGTGTCTTTCCAAATCTGAGTGCATCTGCCAGAGAGGTCAGGAACTAACAGTCTGCAACCAAATAAATAAGATTTGTAAAAGGCTGTGCACGCAGCACTCAAACTGGGAGAAAAGACAAAAGTGCAGAAGTGGATGAACAACCAAAATTTTTTATGGGGTGTACAACCAGTGAACTCGAAGACGATGAAGAAGAAGAAGAAGAAGAAGAAGAAGAAGACGAAGAAGAAGAAGACGAAAAAGAAGAAGAAGAAGAAAAAGAAGAAGAAGAGGAAGAAGAAGAAGAAGAAGAAGAAGAAGAAGAAGAAGAAGAAGAAGAAGAAGAAGAAGAAGAAGAAGAAGAAGAAGAAGAAGAAGAAGAAGAAGAAGAAGAAGAAGAAGAAGAAGAAGAAGAACAAGAAGAAGAACAAGAAGAAGAAGAAGAAGAAAAAGAAGAAGAAGAAGATGATGATGATGATGTTAATGATGATGATAAGGATGATAATGATGAAGAAGAGTAAGATAGAGGAGAAGGAGGAGAAAGAAAAGGAGGAGAAGTGAAGAAGAAGGAGAATACATGAAACTTCCATGAGAGGTTAGGTGATGGAACCTGTGAACTAATGTCTGACTGTTGCTCGTGTCCCACAGAGAAGACTACTGTGGCGGTTGTAATGCCAGGTTCTATGACGGCAAGAAGGAAGTCACCAGCGAGTGTTGTAAGTCTGTGCTTGCACCTTGATATGTTCATCTACAGACACATGAACTGATAGTCAACACAGACAGAGTATATCTAAAACCCAGTTTATAATTTGATGACATCACAAACAAGACAGTGCAGCAACAACAGAATCCCCAGCTCAACAACTGGACAGTCTGACAGTTATCTCACTGTCCCAGACATCACGTACACACACACACACACACACACACACACACACACACACCCACACAAATACACACCCTCACACACAAATACACACACACCCACACACACAAATACACACCCACACACACACACACATAAATGGATTCTTTGCCCTGAATAATTAACTGTTATCCAAAATGCGTGCGTGTGACTCTGTTGGTGTGACTGTGTGTGTGTGTGACTGTGTGTGTGTGTGTGTATTTGCGCGTGTGACTGTGTGTGTGCGTGTGACTGTATGTGTGTGTGTGTGCGTGTGACTGCGTGTGTGTGTGTCTGTATTTCCCTAATTTCCGCTTGATGTCCTAGTAGGAAAAAGTATAAACAGCCAATGCAAAGTGTGTACCAAGCTCAGAAATGAGCCAACACACAGTGTCATGTAGACTTTGAATCCAACACCTGACTGTAATGTACACCTAACTGTGATGTACACACAACTGTGATGTACACCTGACGGTAATGTATACCTAACTGTGATGTACACCTGACTGTGACGTACACCTAACTGTGATGTACACATAACTGTAGTGTAAACCTGACTGACGTACACCTGACTGTGACGTACACCTGATTGTGACGTACACCTGACTGTGACGTACACCTGACTGTGACGTACACCTGACTGTGACGTACACCTGACTGTGATGTACGACCATTGCAGTTATCCAGTCCCACAGATACAGACCGAAACTTTCTCTCCGAATGCTGCAGGCAAGAACACCTTGATTCAAAGTGATCCTGTTATTTTTATCAAGGCGGTTCTTATCCTAATTGAGGGGTTCCAACACCCCTCTCTTGCAGAACACATGGCTGCTTGTCGAGAGAGTCTCACAGATCCTGAACTTTATATCTCCAGCGACGACCAGTTGTAATCTATAAAAACAACCTACCATTCAGTCGATAGGTGATTCTAGTGCATTCTCATAGCATGCGAATTGTGAAGTCCCTCACAGCAAAGTTCACCACCTGCCTGCCTGGGTTAGTCCCTCACCACCTCCCTGCCTGGGTTAGTCCCTCACAACCTTCCTGCCTGGGTTAGTCCCTCACAGCAAAGTTCCCCACCTGCCTGCCTGGGTTAGTCTCTCACAGCAAAGTTCCCCACCTGCCTGCCTGGGTTAGTCTCTCACAGCAAGGTTGCCCACCTGCCTGCCTGGGTTAGTCTCTCACAGCAAAGTTTCCCACCTGCCTGCCTGGGTTAGTCTCTCACAGCAAAGTTCCCCACCTGCCTGCCTTTGTTAGTATCTCACAGCAAAGTTCCCCACCTGCCTGCCTGGGTTAGTCTCTCACAGCAAGGTTCCCCACCTGCCTGCCTGGGTTAGTCTCTCACAGCAAAGTTCACCACCTGCCTTCCTGGGTTAGTCTCTCACAGCAAAGTTCCCTACCTGCCTGCCTGTGTTAGTCTCTCACAGCAAAGTTCACCACCTGCCTGCCTGGGTTAGTCTCTCACAGCAAAGTTCACCACCTGCCTGCCTGGGTTAGTCTCTCACAGCAAAGTTCACCACCTGCCTGCCTGGGTTAGTCTCTCACAGCAAAGTTCACCACCTGCCTGCCTTAGTTGTCCGACCCAGCGTCTGCCCCCCTGGATGTGGCAGAGGTCACGGTCTGCAGGACCTTTGACCAAGACATTGCTGTTGGTCAGTTTTGAACAAGTGTAACGCAGTAGTTATTTTCCTAGGGCGGTCTGACCTCTTGTATTGTCCACTTGAAAAAAAAATCGAGCTGACATGATTTTTTCTCTCTCTCTCTACAGCGCTGTGAGTACTCTGCCAACATATGGTGCCTTGCATGTGTGTGCACGTTCCTGGGGTCTATCACACACAGACTACTAGGCATTGACATCATTAGAGAGGGCAATAATTCTACTGGACATTACAGGACAGCAACATGCAACCACTTGCGCGCACGCACACACACACTCACACACATGCGCTGTTGGCATAAGATATTTGAAAACGCATCATACACCCATTCTCTTACACATATACACAGACGATGCCGACATAAAACAGTTGAAAGCACACCATAAACACACATACACAGACGATGCCGACATAAAACAGTTGAAAGCACACCATAAACACACATACACAGACGATGCCGACATAAAACAGTTGAAAGCACACCATAAACACACATACACAGACGATGCTGACATAAAGCAGTTAAAAGCACACCCTAAACACACATACACAGACGATGCTGACATAAAGCAGTTAAAAGCACACCATAAACACACATACACAGACGATGCTGACATAAAGCAGTTGAAAGCACACCATAAACACCCATACACAGACGATGCCGACATAAAGCAGTTGAAAGCACACCATAAACACACATACACAGAGACTCCGGCATGAAAGTAGTTCCACATGAAATAAAACCATTAAACTTTACTAAATTTTGGTGTTTGCTTTTTGTTTACATTGAAAGCGTAATAATAGAAAACACACATATACACAAACACACACATCTGCACAAACACACACACACCCCCACAAATCATACGCAACGACAGAGACAGAGAGTTAGAGGAAGCAATGAGAGAGAGAGAGAGAGAGAGAGAGAGAGAGAGAGAGAGAGAGAGAGAGAGATAGAGAATTAGAGACTAGTAAAAGAGAAATAGAGGAAAGTAGTTGAGAGAGAGAAAGAGCAAGAGAGAGCTAGAGAGAAAGAGAAAGAGAGAGAGAGAGAGAAAGAGAGAGAGAGAGAGAAAGAGAGGGGAACAGAAAGCACAGTAGTACACATGGTGCATACTCCTTATCATTTAAGGATTAACCCCGAGAGGTCGAGAATGTAAGGTCAAAGAGGAGAAATAAAGGAATGTTGACACCTCACCTAGTTGTGTTCGGGCCAAAATGTAAACATTTCAAATTTCCCCAGAGACTGGAGAATGGGCAACACTGCATGTTTTTTAGTCAGGGAGAAGGGACAACATTGCGTATTTTATATTTAGATAGAAGGATAACTGTCAAGGACCTTGCATCTATGCTACTTAACTACAGCTCGTTGTACGGCCCCGTGACAGACACACTATACCAGAACACACTTAAAATACACACCTATCGAGTACACACATAATCTTTTATGAACAAAGAGCAATACAACCTGAAGCAACCTCAACAGTTATGGACAGTCCCTAATCGAAAACGCCAGCAGTGGCAGCATTTATATTTACTTATCCACCCCGAGCCATTCCCATAGATATACCAGAGGACACGATTCCACCTCCTGTAGTGCAGCGCTAACTAGGCTACGATCTTCGCCATGCGAGACTCAGTGGCACACGCAGGGTGGGTGGTTCAAGTATTAGCGGGCAATGTCAACGCCAGCACAAAACGCAGCTAACCCCTAATAACCCAGGGACAAGAACACCTACCTAAGCATGATACAACCCCAACACAACTGTCTTAGCATACTATAAGCACACAAGGAATACCAACAGCTAACCAACATATATGACGACAACGCTAGCAGTCCCTATCTTTCAACTCCTAACACAATACAATCTTTCACGTCTCTATATGTCTTCAGCCTCACACTTCCATGTCGAACAGCTCTCCTCCCTCTCTCCGTTCAGCTTCGGGTAAAACGTGTATGTGGCACCAGTGTTCAAGCCATCTAGGGTTTTCCCCCATATCGTCAATTCAGCTGGCTGACCGCTGGTGCACCTTTTGGTCCGTCATACACAAACATGAAGTGACAAATCCTATTGTCTATTCTCTGTCCCACAGGGCTATGACAGTAACACTGTATGGTTTTAAGTCAGGGACAATGATCTACATTGCATGATTTATAGTCAGGAGAAGAGCAACATTGCATGGTTTAAAGTCAGGGAGAATGGGCAAAACTGTATGATTTATAGTCAGGGAGAATGGGCAAAACTGTATGATTTATAGTCAGGGAGAATGGGCAAAACTGCATGATTTATAGTCAGGAGAAGGGGCAACATTGCATGGTTTAAAGTCAGAGAGAATGGGCAAAACTGCTTGATTTATAGTCAGGGAGAATGGGCGACACTGTATGGATTTTAGTCAGGGAGAATGGACGACACTGTATGGTTTTTAGACACTGTACCCCATCGAAGTGTGCAAAAGTTTATACAGGGATTGTAGAAGTGTAGTTAGAATAAATCAGGGAACATCTCATCCTTTCACAGTGACATCTGGAGTAAGACAGGGGTGTGTCTTATCACCACTGCTGTTTATCACCTACATCGACAGTATATGCAAGAATGCCAAACCCATGAATGAAAATCTTAGTAAGATCAACGAATTACTCTTTGCAGATGACCAGGCCTTGATAGCAGATACAGCCATGAAATTGCAACAGCATCCAACATCCATGAATGAAAAATGTAAAACAGATAATATGAGAATCACCACTGAAAAGACAGAAGTAATGTCAATAGGAAAAAAGAAGATAGATCTAAACATAGCAATATAATACAAAGGCATTAAACAGGCATCTGAGTTTAAATATCTGGGAACTACATTTACCGAAGATGACAAATTGGATAAAGAAATTGGCATTAGATGCAGTAAAGCAAACCAAGTATTGGGACAGCTAGCCCCCCTCTTACAGAATAAGACAATCCCAATCAGCACAAAGAGACATCTTATTCAAAGCATATTTATTCCAACTCTGTACTACCAGTGCCAGACATGGTCACTCACAACAAACCATAAAAGAAAATTAGTAACCACGGAAATGAGATGTCTGAGAAGGGCTGTAGGAGTGACCATAACAGATAAGATCAGGTATGAGATCATAAGAGAACAAGTCGGCACAGAACCAATTCTGGATTACATACAAAGACAGCAAGTAAAATGGTTTGCCCACTTAGAGAGAATGCCTTGTGACACCATACCATACAAAGCATGGAAATAGAAGATGGACGTAGAGCACGGGGTAGACCAAGAACAAGATGGAAGGATAACATCAGAGAAACTCTACAAAAGCACGATATGCCTATGGTCGAGGCAGCCAGAAGAGCTAGAAACAGAACCTTATATCTCTCTCTACACCCACAGCGGTAAAAGAGGAAGTGCAGAAGAAGAAGAAGAAGAAGAAGAAGAAGAAGGGGCAACAGTGTATGGTTTTTAGTCAGGGAGAATGGGCGACATTGTATGGTTTTTAGTCAGGGAGAATGGGCGACACTGTATGGTTTTTAGTCAGGGAGAATGGGCGACATTGTAGGATTTTAGTCATGGAGAATGGACGACACTATATGGTTTTTAGTCAGGGAGAATGGGCGACACTGTATGGTTTTAAGTCAGGGAGAATGGGCGACACTGTATGGTTTTTAGTCAGGGAGAATGGGCGACACTGTATGATTTTTAGTCAGGGAGAATGGGCGACACTGTATGGTTTTAAGTCAGGGAGAATGGGCAACACTGTATGGTTTTAAGTCAGGGAGAATGGGCGACACTGTATGGTTTTAAGTCAGGGAGAATGGGCAACACTGTATGGTTTTTAGTCAGGGAGAATGGGCGACACTGTATGGTTTTTTAGTCAGGGAGAATTGGCGACACTGTATGGTTTTTAGTCAGGAAGAATCGGCGACACTGTATGGTTTTTTAGTCAGGGAGAATGGGCAATACTGTATGGTTTTTAGTCAGGGAGAATGGGCAATACTGTATGGTTAATAGGCATGGCTACCAGTTCCTTGTGTGCTGAACGACTGAAACAAGGGATGCTACGAGCTTAAGCAAGTTGTTCCCCCCCCCCACCCCCCGCACACACATACCCACCCGTCAACAAGCCATATCTAGAAGATTCACGTATTTGTTTTTACATTTTGTGTATTTTAAAAACACTATTTCACCTACTTTTCTATTCAGCATCAAATAATTTTTTTTTGGCTATGATTTCGTACTCAAACAAGTTTAAGCCATTACCCACCCCACCCTGTTTGCACCCACTCCACGTTCTTTGTGAGAGGACCTCTGGTTGGAGCTAAATCTGCTTGCCTTGATCTTGGCAGTGATGCATCTAAGCTGTTGTCAGCTGATGTTCATCTGCGTGCCATGCTCCGGTGGCCAAGCGCAATAAATATTTTAATGTGTATTTTGTTTTTACTGATGATTATCACACGTTTCAAGGTCAGGAGGTTATTCTTCCATGTTTGTTTTTCCTACTAGAAAGTCCGGGTTCGACGCCCATCCTCGGGAGTTCAAGGTCGGCCCCCAATGTTCGACCAGGATGGTCTACTGCTTCTTCCCCTCAGACGTCCTGTCTAGCTGAAACCAAACCTCACTACAGGATTATTTTGTTTTTTCGTATACTGAAGCTCCAACTAGACGTCGTTCATCGACTTCCAACATCTCCCCTATCCACGACGAGTGCTCCATCTGCTGGCGAACTTGAAGCCGACAGAGATATCCTCTAGCTCGTTGCTCAACACTAGAAAAATCTAGACTATTTTTCCACGAAAGTGTGTGTGGGAGCCAATTTTCTATACTGACCACCTGTAGCACATCTGGGTATCTGAGTTTTATACAGCACGGACACCGACCATCTGTAGCACATCTGAGTATGCAAGCTGTGTACAGCACGGACACTGACCATATGTAGCACATCTGGGTATCTAAGCTTTATACAGCACGGACACTGACTACCTGTAGCATATCTAGGTATCTGAGTTTTATACAGCACGGACACCGACCATCTGTAGCACATCTGGGTATGCAAGCTGTGTACAGCACGGACACTGACCATATGTAGCACATCTGGGTATCTAAGCTTTATACAGCACGGACACTGACATCTGGAGCACATCTTGGTATCCGAGCTGTGTACAGCACGGACACTGACCATCTGTAGTATATCTGGGTATCTTATTTGTATACAACACGGACACTGACCATCTATAGCACATCTGGGTATCTCAGCTGTATACAGCACGAACACTAATCATCTGTAGCACATCTGGGTACGTTATGTGTATACAGCAGGGACACTGACCATCTGTAGCACATCTGGGTATCTAAGCTGTATACAGCACGGACACTGACAATCTGTAGC